AGACTGGCGGCTCTGGCGTGCTTGTGCAGAGCGTAGGTTCCACCTTTTGCCGACATGTTCAAGCATGCGACTAACTTTTTTTTGGTAGATACAAACCCGATGTCCGTCTACGCTTCGTTACAGAAGAGCTGGGTTTCGAGTCAGACGAAGAAGCATGCCAATTCATTATTGATCATGCTCCAGATGAGTCTTCGACTCTACTCGAAGAACGAGATGGAGATGTGCGCTTTCTGACCGGAAAAGCTGGCTCCATCTTCCACATCGCGAAGGCGAAAGCCTTTGGACACATCGACATTAAGGGCCAGATATGAATGTCCTTGTGACATTCCTTAGGGCCGTGTGATTGTCATACAAATGATCTGGACGCTCTGGCCCTTTGGCCCCTGGCAGGTCCGACCTCAAACTCTACTGCCCGACTCGATTTCCATTTGTTTCCTTTAGACGACCGTTTTGAGCATTAGTTACATGAACGGGATGGATACTTGTCGTTCTTTATGGCCGAAGCGTCATCCATATCCGGCGAGGGGGTTCACGAGCTTGGGGTGTGTTTGTCTTTGCCACGTAAGGGGCGGGTGATCACGAGGGAGACACGTTGGATTAGTTGACGGTCAGGATATGGGGTTCATAGCGCGGCATCCCTGGGCATTTGAAAGAACGTCCGCATTGTGCCACTGCAAGGAGTTGGATCAATTGGCAGCATGACTCTGATTGCCTGCCAAGATGAGGCGAACATTGATTTCAAGTTGTCCGATTTCTCTGCTCTCATTGTTTACCGTCTACCCCGGACGCGTCTGGTATATCTAAAATGACGCTCCTGCTTGGTCTTGAGGAGGTTGTCAACAGGGCGACTGGAGAGGGCAGTGGTCTAGCCTGAGCTGCAGAGCAACCTGGGCATTGACCTGGAAACACAGCCTGACTGATATATCTCTCATGGCTGAACATAGCTCGCCGGTGCAGCTGAACTTGGCTGGCCAACACCACTTATAACGCAAGACGGGGCAGGTTCCTGTGCAGCTGCTGCCAGCTCTCTGGCTGTGGCCAAGGAGAATGGGTCCAGTCAGACTGACGGATCAAGATGCACCTAACTAGCCTCCAAACGCAAGCGTATGCAGCTGGGATGGTTCTCGTGGCTTTTGTGGTTTTCATTTGGTTGTGTGGCTTTTTGGGGGCCGTCTGTGTGCATCGACTCGTTCTCTTTGTTCGCGCCTCAAGACGCTTTGGGAATGGCGGTCTTGCATTGCAGCCACGCCCACGTTGCCGGCCTGGCACAGTTGCATTTCCGACTCACGCTCTCTGGCGACTTTCCGGCTGGCCATCGTCAACCTCGACTCAGGAGCAGAACTCCGGTAACAAAGGGTGCCGATGCTGCAACCACCAGAATCTCGTAGTAAGACCTTTGATTGAATCTTCACATCTACGTCACCGCCATCGCACTTTAATTTCTGGAATCCTTCCGGAATTCAATCGAAAATCTTAAAAGTCCCGTCGCAATCTTCAATCAGTGGGGCGTCACGGGCTTGGACTGAAGGGATCCCTGCCAGACACGCTAGACAGACACACCAGGTCTTCCCCCTTGCTCGATCTTGTGAACAGCATTCTGTCCGACGTCGACCACCTCCCCAGCCTGACCTTGTCAACGTCAAATCCTGAAACACTTTGTCCCTCAACGTTGCGCGGCAGAGTCCAACCCCGTGCAGGCCGTTGAAAGCCTCGTTCCACCCTGCGACTGCGCCCGCAGCCGATCTAGAGCCAAAAAGAGCACGCTTTCCGCAGGATTGCCTTCCTGCCCAGTGCGATTGCGGGGCACTCCAATGCGACAATGAAGGTATGTCTATCGTGTTCACTGTACGCGCGCAGCTCGCGCCCTGGCTATCGGGCACTGATCATTCTGTTCTCATAGGCTATTCGCCGGTCGTTGAAGAGCGACAAAGACGGACGGCACCCGCCCAACCTGTCCATCACACCCAAGACAATCCAAGCACTCCCGCCGAAGAAGGTGATAAAGGCCTTGTACGACTATGAGCCGCAAAACGGCAATGCGCAAGAGCTAGCATTTCACAAGGGCGACTTCTTCCATGTCCTAAGTCGTGAGGACGACACAGAGTGGTACGAGGCGTGCAACCCGCTCATCCCGTCCGCTAGGGGCCTCGTGCCCGTCGCATTCTTCGAAGTGGTTGGCAAACAACAGCGACAAAGTGGGAGCTCTGTTGCGTCTCCGGCAGACAAGGCGGACGGCCATGACTCTGGCTTTTCTGAAAAGGGCTCCACCACCTCTGGCCATACCAGATCAGAATCGACAGCAACCACACGACCTAGCGCAGGACCTCATCAAAGAGGACCTAGCATGAGCGGACGAGGCACAGGCGCCATGGTGTATGGCGTGGTACAGTACGATTTCCATGCGGAGAGGGCTGATGAGCTGGACGCCAAAGCTGGAGAGGCGATTATCGTGGTGGCACAATCCAACCCAGAATGGTTCGTTGCGAAGCCAATAGGACGGCTAGGAGGGCCTGGTTTGATCCCCGTGTCATTCATCGATATCAAGGACACTGCAACTATGCAGTCAGTCCCAGACCCGCTGGAGGCTGTTCGGAAAGCAGGTGTGCCTCGAGTGGAAGAATGGAAAAAATTCGCGGCCGAGTACAAGAACAGCAGTATCAGCTTGGGCAAATTCGACAATCCCCAAGCCCAAATGTCGGCCGAAATGGCTCGGATGAGCTTACAGAATGCTCCTTCGCAACAGCCTCTTCCTCCACAGACTGAATATGTAAGTGGCGGTTCCCGTCTTGAACTTGACACACGGAAGCTTATGAATCCAAACCAGACTGGAGCAAGGCTGTCTCAGCAGTCGAACATCCCGTTGGCGCCCGTCAGTGCCTCGGTACCTCGATATTGCTTTGACAACGACATGTACTGGTACATTATCGAGTGTCAGATGGAAGACGGCCGATGGTGGGAACTCTCACGGTACTACGCCGACTTCTATGACTTCCAGATTGCTCTCCTAGAGATGTTTCCGGAAGAGGCCGGCAACAAGGGCAAGCCTCGTACACTGCCCTTTATGCCCGGACCTGTGGCACATGTCACGGATGCGATTTCCAACGGTCGACGGCAGAACCTTGACGAGTACATCAAGAAGATTGTCGGCATGCCCCCTCATATTTCTAAGAGTATGCTGGTCCGGAATCTGTTCAAGCCCAAGCCAGGTCAAGATTTCGAGATAGATCCCAATGCCCTCGGAGAGGATTACAGACTGTCAGGCGGGTCACAGCACTCGCTGCCCCCTGTGTCTCGGACCTCTTCCAACCAACAGCCACCCGGAGTGGCGTATGGCGGCATGCCACCCCCATCTGCACGGTCGTCGCAGCAAAGAGGGCCCGTACCTATGTCCTCTGGAACAGGCATGGTCATGGGAGGACCGCCGTTTCTGCATTCTCAACCAAGCAACTTGACTCAGGCGTCCAATTCTTCGAGTATGAAGGCCGGCAATGCAGGCGGCGCCATGAAAGTCAAAGTTTTCTTTCAAGAAGACATCATCGCCCTCCGAGTGCCGCAAGATGTTGTTTTCGTGGCACTCAAGGAAAAGCTGATAGAGCGATTGAAGGTCAACGAAGAGATCGTGATTCAGTACAAGGACGAGCCGACCAATAGTCTCATCGACCTGGAGAACGACGACAACCTTGATGTGGCGCTTCAACGGAATCCCAAACTCACGCTCTACGTCAATTACGCTCCCGGTTGAAACCGGGGTTGCTCCCGCCAGACCTTTGAACTCCGGCCACCGAGCAGCTCCTCCTGCATTGACCCGTCCTGCATGCATTCTACATATGGTATACAAGGCGAAGGACAGGGCAACCTGACGAAATGAATGGTTTTATGAAATCACGGTCGGAACTCCAATGGCGTTAAATTGATCCGGGGGGATTCAGATCCAGCACTTCGACATTTCCCGCAAAAGTTTACAGTTTCCAACAATTTCTCACCATCACATCGGCGACGAGAGTGTTACGCGGAGTTTGACATAGCTCAGGGTCATGTCACGGCGGATCTGTGCGAAGCGTGCCAGCTGATTTGCTCACACAAGGGAAGGAGTTCAGGAAGCAGAAGGTGCATTTCGGTCAAGCATGTCTCTAGGCATCTCGATGTCAGCGACTGCAGGCACTTGGTCACGGCCACAGAACCTGCTCGTTATAGTCAGATCTCCAAATGCTTTGAGCTTGAAGTACGTTCCCGCCAGGTATCTTGCCTGACATTTTGGCCCCTGAGACTGTTTGGGCTGTGATGTGTCGGCCCCAGATGATCGGCTACTTGAACGGTGGGAATAGACTAAGGATGTGAAATGCCGTCTTTATTCCGAGTTGCCATGCCATGCCTCGCCTCCACTCACCGTCAACGGCCTGTGACGCAGCTCGACAATTGGTCGCTACCTAAGAAATTGCGTACCAGCTGCCACTTGCTCCTCCACCACGTTTTTGCTTAGGCTTCGCCATGAATTTATGACCTTGGAATATTGTGACGTGTGTAGTGTCTCTACTCTTGTTTGGTTGTCTGCGTGGCCGTCAGGATGAAGGCCGCTGTGCAGCCCGTCCACAATGCCTTTCAGTCCTACCTCCGAGCTCTGATCTCCGATACCGCTGTCCGGGTCCCGTTGCGGCACCCGGTCTGCGCAGAGTGCTTGACGACACTGACACTGACGCAGACACTGCGGCGACAAAGAAGTTCGCCCCGACTCTCGCTGAGGCGCCAACTACATGTCGCAAGCAGGGTCTGCTCGGACTGGACGGTGAGGTCTGTGGGCGCCCAACCACAGCGGCAATGGCGTCAGAAGAGGGAGCTGGCGACGGTGAAAGATGTACGCTCCCGCGGACCGTTGGAGGAGTACGATGAACGAGTCCACGCAGGGAGACTGCGCATGGACGAGCATCAGAGAAGTGAGCGCGGAAGAACCCTTCCAACACTGTGACTCTCCAGAAAGAGCTACTAGACTAACATGACATGACATGAATGAAGCGCTGGTCGAGCACCTCCAAGATCTCCACGAGTCGCTACAGGACTACACGCCCCCGAAGGTCACGCACCCGGACATCCACGACCTCCAACCACCCAAGAAATCCCTCTTTGGGTCGTTGTTCTCGGGCGGCAAGAAGAAGAAGGCCATAGGCGAGATACCCGCGAACCTGCCCAAGGGACTGTACATGTACGGCGACGTCGGGTCCGGGAAGACGATGCTCATGGATCTGTTCTTCGACACGTTGCCGGCGAACATCACGTCCAAGACGCGCATCCACTTCCACAATTTCATGCAAGACGTGCACAAGCGGCTGCACAAGATGCGGATGGAGTACGGCAACGACTTCGACGCCGTGCCCTTCATCGCGGCCGACCTGGCCGAGACGGCCCAGGTCCTCTGCTTCGACGAGTTCCAGGTGGTCGACGTCGCGGACGCCATGATCCTGCGCCGGCTGATCGAGGCGCTGATGTCGCACGGCGTCGTCCTGGTGACCACCTCCAACCGGCACCCGGACGACCTGTACAAGAACGGCATCCAACGCCAGTCCTTCATCCCGTGCATCAACCTGCTTAAGAAGCAACTGCGCGTCATCAACCTGGACTCGCAGACGGATTATCGCAAGCTGCCGCGCCCGCCCAGTGGCGTGTACCACCACCCGCTCGACCGCGCGGCCAAATCCCACGCGGACAAGTGGTTCAGCTTCCTCGGCGACCCGGAGAACGACCCGCCTCATCCGACCACCATCACGGTGTGGGGCCGCGAAGTCCATATCCCGCTCGTCTCGGGGCGCGCCGCGAGGTTCTCGTTCCACGACCTCATCGGCCGAGCCACGGGCGCGGCGGACTACATCGAGATGATGCGCAGCTTTGACGCCTTCATCGTCACGGACGTGCCGGGCATGACGCATCGCGAGAGAGACTGGGCCCGACGGTTCATCACCTTCATCGACGCCGTGTACGAGAGCCACGCCAAGCTGGTGCTCACCACGGCCGTGCCGCTGAGCCAGTTGTTCGTCAGCAAGACGGAGCTGGACGAGAGTTTGGACAAAGTGACGGACAAGGTCAAGAAGGACGAGGCGGCAGCGAGCAAGGACGAGAAAAACGTGGCCCAGGAGATCCGCAACGCGAAACACAATTCCTCGGGTCCTTCGGGCCAGGATGAAGGCCACGACGTGGACGACGTGATGCGCAACTTGATGGACGATCTGGGCATGAACATGAGCATGCTCAAGCAGTCGTCGCTGTTTAGCGGGGACGAGGAGCGCTTCGCCTTCGCGAGGGCCTTGAGCCGCTTGACCGAGATGGGCAGCCAGGAGTGGGTGGAGAGGGGACTGGGGCTTGAGAAGAGAGGAGGACTTCACGAGAAGGAAGGCTGGCAGAGGGTCCGGAGCCGGTGGAGGGAGGATAGTCTGTGATTTCCAGGCGAGGGCGAGGGAGCCCGGCGCGGGAGCGCGGGCGGGAGAGGCCGACGAACTGATACCGGTATGTAGAGAGGACGACGATAAAAGGGCGCAGGGAGGGAGCAAGACAAAGACCGGAAATAATAATACATAACCCCATCTAGACCTGGACGTTATTACAGTAACTCTAGTCCCAAGTGATCGTGGCCCATACCCAGTACATGTAGGGTGTCATATCTATCCATATAGGGGGTGTGTGAAAGGGGAAATGTCATGTCAGCACCTGTACCGAGTGCAAAGTACTGTACCCTCCACATTAACGTGTCTGTGTCTGTGCCTGTATGGCAAGTACTGTACTACAGCAGCTCTTGAGCACGGCGAAGGCGTAGGGGGGAGGTCGAAAACGATCATCGTCCGCCTTCGGCTCAAGCAGCGGCCTCGCAGCCGTGCAACGAGTCCGGTGATGTTTTGAGGCTCGACCGTCAAGTAAGACCAGGCGTCAAGGTCACAAAGACAGACCGTCTGGGTATTCCCGCAACACAGCTCAGCTATGTATTTGATATGAGTGCCAAAATTCATTTTGTGTATTCAAGGGAGAGATATTTATTGTCGATGAGCTGGCGTAGGGCACATCTTGGCAACTTGATATGAGCACCGAATTGAATATGCATTCGAAAGAGAAATAATTATTGTCGATGACTCCGGCGTCACGCCACGCCCTGTCCTCTTCATTGACAAACCTTTAGCCCCGGTCTGTCAATCTCACGCTCACGGGCATATTCTCAACCTCCTTCACAAGCTTCGTTGTGCCCACACTGCCCGATAGGGCCTCGACTCTGCTCGCCTCGCCGTCCTGTCATCGAATCCACAAAACAGCAAGGCGAGCGGGTTTCCTTTCAACTCGTGGTCCAGACCCGCGCCGCTCCCGCTGGGCATACCGTCCTGAACCGCCAACGCTACGAAGAAAGCAATGGTCACGGCTGCCAAGGCCGCCGGATATGCAATCAGACCCCAGCGCACCCGGATACACGTGAGGGTCGTGACGACGTCGCCCGATGCTGGTGTGGAGTAACCGTCGTCACCGTGACCCCGGATATACGTCGTCATGCTTCTCGACATGTTGGCGAAGATGCCGTCTACAGACTGAAAAGTCGCCTTGCCGGAATTGTAGAAGCCCTCAGAGACCGTCGAGCTATTGTAAGTCATGGCGCCGGTGTTAGCGTCCATGTGCCAACTCACCGAGCCCGCGGTGAAGAAGCTGGAGAAAAAGCCGTCCAGCGAGTAGCCGTACGTATACATATCCTCTTGGGGCACAATGGTAGTTTTATTGACTGTGAAAGCACGATAAGTTTCACAGATCAGGGAATCGTGGATGGGTAACCATTCAGCACCGGGTGGGACGTCGTAGCCGGCTTGCGTTAGATTTTCCATCTGCGCGGGTGTCAGACAAGGCAGGTATAATAGTGCTGGTCGCCGGGCAACTGACAAGCCCAGTTTCAGGCACCGCCCCAAAGCTATCGGTTGCCAAAGTGACTGTTTCGTGCAGTCTACCGTCCTGAGTGTGCATCTGGCGGCACCATAGCCTCTGCTCGTCCAGTTGCCTGTTTTGCTGTCATTACAGCTTGGGGGACGACGACGTATTCGACATTGAGCATGAGCAGCTCCACGGCAGTGATGTCGTTATTATACGCCATGACCCATCGGTCTTGATAGTAAGCTTCGGTGTCGGTGTACGAGTCCCTCGCTTTGAGGCCGGAAGGCAGTCCCATCTGGAAGTCGGTGACGTTGATGATCTCCCAGCTATCGAAGGGCATTTGCGTCTGGGGATCCGTGGCGAGGATGGAGATGTTCTGCTGCCGCTGGGTTGAAGTGCAACGTAGTTCGGTGGCGATGTCTTCGCAACTGTGCGTATAGCCGAACGTGTAGATCTCGTCTGGGAAAGTGCAATAACCTGAGGAGCACTGAAAATCGACCGTCAAGCCTTGACTGTATAGGCCAGCCTTGACGGCCATTTTCAGTCCATAAGAAATATCGTCGTCTGCTGTCTCGGTGTACGAACTGGTCCTTTGCACGCTCGCGCTCAGAGAAGCTGTTGGTTGAGCAGCGGCTGGTTTGGCCCTGGAGCAGCCGTAGTACTGAACAAGCTCTTGGGCAATGGGATCAAGCACAACGGCTGCGATTGTGACAAAGGAGGCGATGGTTGACCAAACATCCCGACCATGTACTTTGATTAAGAGCCACAGCGAGCCATGTGGACCCCTTGAGGCGCTATCATATGTGGCAAGGTCATTTAGAGATCTTCGTCTGCTGAACCAGGTCCATTTGACGCCTTATTGATCGCTTGTTGGCCTTGACTGTCGATTACAGCCATGAGTGGTGGCTCTTCGGTGCGCGGTAAGTTGATGGTGTATGAACCAGGGTCTGGGCTATCGAGGACCTCAGCTGGTGCGAGCATCGGTATGTGGCAACGTCCTGGCATTCCAAATGCCTCGAGCATATCAGCCGTGAGCCGCAGACGGGAGAGATTCAAACGCCGATGTACAAATGTGGACGCTAGCAGTTGTGATATTCTGCTCCAAAGCGACAGAGATTCCATGACGACCAGGAGAGGAAACCCCACAAGCAGCCTTGATGCAGACCTCGATGCGTCCCCCACACTGACCGTGTGGCAGCGAACTCAATGAGTATGGTTCTCATCACTTCAACCCGACAGCCTGGAGGAATGTGGATTTATGGTGTTCTTTGACGATGCTCTGGACGAGTTCCGCCATTGTCTCCACTTCGACAATCTTGCCTTTGCAGGAGGAAAACTGCCACTCGTCCGGTGCATGGTCATGCTGTTTGCTTTCTTCGGCGGAATCATATCGTATCTGAAAGGCTTGCCAGTTCAACGCCTTAAGCTCTCCAACATGTGCATCAACGAGGTCACTACGACCCGAGAAGATCATAATGCCTGGGTAGCCAGGCTTCGTGATGCCCGAAATGTCCAGGGACGAGTATCCCTTTGGACTAAGCACCCTTGCATTCAGACTTGGATTTACGGCGAGTTTGCGCTTAGAAATGGCCAAAAGATGATGGAGCCAGATGATTACAGTCTTGGATGGCGGCGTGAAATCGGTGTCAGCATCGACGCCGTTGTCTTTTATCGCATTGTGTTGTCCATCCGAGGTTTCAGCCACGGGCACCTGCGCAGTCTCAGCCGTGACTTCTTCGAATCGGTTTATCAAGATGTCCAGGATTTCCGAACCCTGCTCGTCGAACGCGACGGTCTCAAACGCTTGCTGTACTTTGTCGCGGACGTCATTCCTGGATGCCTCAGACGCAGAAATGATTTGGGGTTTGTCCGGGCCTGTAGGATACTGATCCTGAAGTCGTAAAACCAAGACTGCGCTGGATGAATTCGGAGAGGTATATTTGAGCTCGCGGCTTTTCGAGTCGAAGGAAATGAGGTCGGGGTACATCGCTTCGAGCAGGGCCAATTCGTTCTCAAAGCGGGTAGAGTTCTCTGACGCGTCTATGTATGCCATAATGATGGCCACTGAATCGCAATATAAATGAGGAACTGATACCGTTGGCTGAACAGTTGAACAGAGTTGAGCCCTTTCCTTGCTGTGACACCATGGTCTACAAGTCTGCGATGTGAACCTGGCTGAGAACGGCAGCGCAAAACAGAAGTGCTCTGGGTCACATGCCTCGCGGAGATGACTGTGCGGGAATAACTTATACCGTCGGGTCTCTCAGCGTTGAGGTTGACTTGGACGTGCAGCGTGTGTCGGGCCGCAAGACACGGAAGGCTCAAGGTTGACGTCAAAAGATTGCAATTGCCCCGAGAAGAGCAACTTGTCTTAGGTAGGCTTAAGCAGAGCCTCAGTATCGGCAGCGGGCCTCGTGTTCTTCGCACTGCTCGACGTCGGTTCGGCGAGATGAAAATCCGCTCATAATGAATGAGGTTTGTTCGGTGCGGAGACGTCACTCAATGGTCAACCACTAGCACAACCAAGTGAACATTCATCCAACCTGTCGAGCCATAATTAGGTACCAGCCATTCACAATCGCATGAAGATGCAGAATCTGATTCAACGGTGCTGGAGAAGTCGCATTCACGCATTGTGGCATGTCGAAGGCTGTTCCCCCAGCAACGCCGCTTACCGAAACCAAACACGCTTCCCAGCCGGGCCACATCGTGCTTTGCGAGACGCGATTGGCGACGCCGCCATGCCCCTCCATCAGAACCGGAGGTCGATGGAGAGCTAGTCTCTATTGAGGCGCAGAGACGTCTGAAAGTGGCATCTCTCCAGCTGCGCCTTGTGAAGGTAGGTTTTGTGGCGGGCCGAAGCCATGGGCACCATCCTTGCAATCGAACGCGATTGTTGCCCCAGGCGAAGTCGGAGAGACAGGCCCGATGGTAGTGTAAGTACTGTATATCGAGCTGCTTCTGTTCCCATGAAGCCAGATACGTCCCAGCAAGAGCGAGCAAACAAACTCCGTGTAACACACTGTCGATCGATAAACCTAGTATCTCTCGTAACTCGAGCACGAGAGACACTGTCGATCCCCATCCTAAGCGGCGATTGTCGACACCGCCAGGAGCACACATCCAGAGGGATAGCTCGCGGAGCAAGTGCTCATGAGCGGGACGGGTGATGCGCGCTCTACCACTGTTCACGGGGCTTCTGTCCAGCCTCCAGGAAAGAGGTGACTACGACGATGGACAATACACCCAAGTCGTCCAAGCCACGGTCTGGACCTCGACGCCCACCTACGTGGTTTCGTACATCTCGACCCAGATCGTCACGCTGACCTCGTACGTCCCCTGCCCGGTGACAACCTCCTACACGACAGTCTACAAGTGCTCGACCTGCGGCGTGTGCACCACCTGCAACGCCGCCCCAACCACATGCCAGCCGAAACTGTGCTCGACGCAGGTCCACTGGGCCGCGCAAGCAACCACCACGGCCTACAGCCCCGGCGAGTACGCCGTCGCCTATGTCACGAACAACAACGGCCAAAGCTACACCACCACCGTTGCCGCCTCTCAATGCACCGCCTACGCCCAAGTCTACTTTGCCAACTACGACTGCGCGACTCTCCCCGCGTGCGGTGGTGGCCCGGCTCCCGCTCCCGCGCCCGTGGCCTTGACATGCGAGGCAAAACCTTGCACCACACTCGGTTATCTCAACGGCAACACCTACGTGACGCTCACCGAAGGCACGTCCTACTTCGCCACCGAGTACGCTCGCCTCACCGTGAACAATCAAGTGACGTCCACGCCGGCGAGTCTCTGCGCGGTCCTCACCACGCCCGCGCAATGGGCCGTCGCCCCAACCTGTGCGTGCGGTGATGGCGGCAGCGGAGTCATCACGTCCACCAACTGCCCTAGCGGTGGTGGAGAAATCCTCACATACACGTACACGACGCAGGGGAGTACCATCGTCGTGGCGACCACGCTGCCATGTCGCGGCGGGCCGTTCCATTTGACGGGGAGTGGTGCGGCGCGCACGGTAGGGGGTGATCCATCCAGGTTGGTGTTCTGGCTATGGACCGTTTGTGCAATAATGGCAGGAGTGGGAATGGTCCTGCTTTGATTCCGGCTGGGCTTTATGAAACATGAGTATGCGTATGAGTATGAGTATGAGGGCAAAGGTATCGTTAAACGTGATTGGGCTGATATATGGCACGGAAAAGGCAACGAATGGTTCGGTCTTGTATATGTGTTGGCTACCTCCTTTCATGATTGCTTGAATACACTGTCATCTTCGGGTAGGGCTCGGCTGGGCGGTTTGTGGAACGATTAAGTACGTTACTTTACTTGGGAGAGATTTCAACACAGCAGTTGACTTCATGTATTTGGGATGTGGATATCCTAACATAAGACCTCGCGTCATTCCAACCAGCATACTCTATGCTTTAATGCCCAAGCTTTGGTTGACAAGCTGCCGTCCATGTCGTGCCCAATTGGTATGCAGATTATCCGGGTCATTCCAATGCTCTTCCTTTCCGAGCTCGTAGCTTGAAGGACTCGTCGATGATGGCCCAGCTAGTGGGTGTGGGTAGCCTGTTGGTCTGTACTGGAGCCGTACAATCTAGCGGAGCTGTGCCAAGCGCGTCCCTTCACAGCTCTTGTTGCAACTCCCGTATCTTACGGTAGATCTCCTTCAAGGTTTCTTCTTTGCCAACCTGCCCAAGCAATTGTTAGTCGACGATCACGACAATGCGCCTCGAAGTGGCAGTCTTTGTAGGGGCTCGGGGGAACTTGCCTTCATCTGATACCCAGTAGGTTTTCCCCCTTCCAATCCGGTCAGGTGCATGGTCTTCCCTGTTGGTTCCTTGCCGTCAGGCGTGCCAACGATCATCTCCTTGAACACTGGCGTGTTGAGCACCAGCCGATGTGTTCCCCTCGCTCGCATGATTAGACGAGCCTTGCGTTCGAGTCTGCTAGAAGACTCGGATTGCCCTGCTTCGAGATCTGGCTCGTTAGTCTCGTTGTTCTTTGTCGTATCTTCTTCGGTTGACGACTCAGCAGGTGTTGATCTGGCTTCGTAGCGGATGTTGATTTTGAAGTCGCCGACGCCGCTTTCCTTCCATTCCTTCTCAAAGTGGTAGAGTTTGGCGGTGCAGGTAAAGATTGTTTCTTCCTCTTCTTCGCCCGTGTTAACTGGTGACAATAGGTTAGCTCGACGCGCCTGTAAGACAGGGGATACGATGTAACGTACGCTCTTGCTGATGGAACCGGGGATCCTGTGAGGGGTCTCCTTCAGCTTGTGATGCACCCTCCTCCTCATCGCCACCTTCATCGCTCCCCTTGTCATCTTCACCTTCATGGTTCTTTGATCCAGACGGTTTGGCTTTGCCGAACGTCCCGCCTCCTCCCGACGGGCTACTGAAGGAGGAAAGACCACCAGCAAACGGCTTCGACGCAGCCCCAAAGCCACTTCCGCCTCCAAAGCCACCTGCCGAGCCAAAACCACCGCCTGCACCAAATCCTGAGGCTGGTTTACTTCCGAAGGGTGACGCAGCCGCAAATCCACCAGAGGATGATCCGAAGCCCGTAGATGTCGTCGCACTACCGAAGCCGCCACTATTCTTAGCAGTGGAGCCCACAGTGCCAAAGGGAGACTTCTCGGATGAAGCGAAAGCTGACAGGCCGGAAGAAGCGAAAGCGGACATCGAGGTTGTACCATTAGACGGTGGTGTTGGAGACTCGGCACTCTTTTCTGGCGACTTGGGAGGCTTGAAGGTTGCGAACGGAGAAGCTGATGATGCGTTGGCGAAGCCGGACGAGGCTGGGATCTGTGTTTTGGGTTCCTCCTTAGATGGAGCGGCTCCAGTGGCCGTTGCAGCGGCGTGCGGATCTGATATGACAGTGGCATTCGGCATTGTGTCAGCTGCTGTTGTATCCTCCACATTTGAAGTAGGGGCAGAAGCAGCGGCATCCATCTCTGCCTTTGAGGGCGCCGAAACCAATACTCCAGGCCCGCCCGGAGATTGCTGTGCATCTGCGCCAGGCTCTTCCTGCACTGGACTTGCCATATCTTCGTTCATATCCAGACCTTGAGCCTCTCCCTCATGTCCTGATATCTCTCGGGATCGCATTCTCTTGTGCTGGGCGCCCTTCTTAGGCAAGGGAGGTCCTCCGTTCTCCACACCGACTCCCGGCTCTTCATTCTGTAAGTCATCAAAGGATCGTTTCTTAGAGGGTCGGCCTCTTGCCTGTCCGTTCTCGGGTTGAGCATCGGAAGCGGTGTCGGCATTAGCGACTTCGCCCAGAGGATGGTCTCCAGTGGCCTTGCCCACCTTGGAGTACTGTGCTAGTCCGGCGATGGATGTTTTTTTCAGTTTCTCTCGAGTGGTGCGTTCATCCCGCTCGCCGTCTGAGCTGCCGTCTTGAGGAGGAAGGTCTTGTATGACTGTATCCGCATGCGCATCGGCTGGGGGTGGTGTTTCCGATCGGTCGTCTGATGCCATCGTGAGCGACGGGTCGTATGTAGCACTTCCGTTGATTCGAAGTCTCCGACTCGTCTTCCGCTAATATCAGCCACTGGCGACTTGACGTGAAGATATTCCCTGCAACGCTGGAGATTGAGCAGGGCTGGATAATCAACAAGATTATTGGTTAAACTCTGGACTCAGGTATTCACATCGGATGAGGCCCGGCCTCGGCAACCCCAACCAGTGATAGCCTCGACGGTATCTGCTGTGTACTTGGATTCAGGACGAACACTGCGTCGTTGTGAGAGACAATGGTTGAGGAGGCACAGCGCCTTCAAACAACATTGACGCCTCGAGGTAGGGATTCGGTCCGCGATGTGGCGTTGTTGCGAGTCCTCTGCGACATAGACTGAATCGAGCGTGGACGAGACGCGCACTGTACGGTCGATGTGGTGTCAGAATCAAAGAGCCGTCACCAGGCGAATTCAAGTGCGGTCGCAGTCTAGAGGGAGTGGTAGGGCTGGTCGAGATATGATTGTTGCGTGTCAGGCTGCGGTGAGGCACGATCACCATCACCAGGTGCTTTTTCGCCCCACACAATAGATGCCTAGGCAATTTCTATGACCAAAGCAGAGTGGGATATCATGCATTTTCATTATCAGGGAAAGTCAGTGGCCTGGAGTTTTATGCGCATTGCTGGCGAGAACGCTGGCGTCTGTGTAGACCACGCTCTCGAATCTAGCTAATAAAACAAAGGCACCCGAGCCCGATATAGAAGACAAAGAGAGGGTAAACACTCAGCGCAACCCGGTTCTTGACTACACCTGATCCTCCGAGAATACTAACGCCGGCTGCAAGTGACCACGCGACCAGGACAAGGTAGACTGGAATGCGCACAATCGTGGGTAGCCCAAGTGCGCTGAGGAGGGCGGCAATGGTCAAGGGAAACAAGGTATAGCCAATGATAGACACCGACTGCATAAAAGAGCTATCAAAAAAGTCAGTAGTGTCCAAGCGACATACTTGCTCTTGAGGGACTCACATGTTTCCTCCCAGGAGCTTGATCTGAAGTGTCACCACAGCCTCGCCAACCCAGATCAAAGAAAAGACGCCGGAGAAGACCAAATCCGTCTGGCCCTTGCTGGCTCGCATGGAGAGGAAAACGCTCAACAGCAAGCAGAATATAAGCGGACCCCTGTGACTGTGTAAGAGCCGTGTTATCAGCCGATTCTCTGGGCGACCAGAACTCACCATAGGTCCCAATCTCGCAGACCCTCACTCATTCCTCCCTGCAAGATCCCGTCTGCGTCGGGCCATCGTCCTAGCAACCCTCTCAAATCTCTCCCGAGGGCTCCTCCTTGACTCTCAACGTCGCCCATGCCAGCCCCTTGTCTTTGGAGCATGCCACCAAGGAGATACTTGGGGTAGAGAACTTGCTTCATCTTCTCCCATACCGCGAACAGATCTCTGGATACGGTATCCCAAACACTTTCGTCAATCGTATTCTGCGGTGCGCGCCTGTCTTCGCCAGGGATTCTCGACGTCAGATAATTCTGGTTTAGAGGTGCGCTGGTCGAGGATGACTGGATATTGCCTGTTAACGGAGCGCGATCTGAGGTGCTGTGTGAGGGCTCATCGGGTTCGACTTCTGCAGAGAATAAGTATGACTCCGATCCGAGGTGGCTGCCATGTATGTCTCTCACCATCGTTCAAGAAGTCATCCTCGAGCACAGCGTGGTCATCATCATAGGGGTTGTCGTACGGACTTTCAGAGTGTCCGGTGGCCATGTTCGCTAAAGTGTCCACATGCGCATTGATGGCAGCTGGCGGCAGTATCTGAGATACAAAAGAAATTCAGAAGATGCTGTATGATCGATCTACCAGCATGAATGCGCTAGTAATCAGGCACAGTGAGGGTCATGGAAAAGCCATGTGTAGTTGTCGAAGCGTTGCCAACTACGTATGACAGGCTCGGGGAAAGGCTTCTGTTTAACATGAGCTGCGGAATGAGAAGGCTCACACTGAACTGTCCAGGACGCGCGACGCATTACGTAACCCATGGCCCCCTTTCCCGGCGCACCTACTGCAGGCATATCCTATTCAATGTTGCAAGCAAGGCCAAGTAATCGAAGTCGACCCAACAATTTAAAGTCATCCGTCTCGCTCTGATCAGCTGCGAGACACGGACAGAGTTGCTTTGCTCGAGAGGAAACAATCCCCGGTATTATCGCAGCTTCAGGCAATTGTACTCGTGTTGAACGATGCAGTCCCGTCGCAGCTAACCCTGGCGTTTGATATTCCGCAATCCTTCCTCGAGTAGATTTATGAGCTTCTTGTCGAACGCCTCCTCCTTGAAACTCACTCTCTCGGTCCACCAGTCCAACCAGCTTGATGCCCTGGCTCCTTCCGGCGCTCGTAAAAGTCCCACACTGACATCGATCAGGTCCGGCCTCTCGAGGCAGTGCCAGAACACGGTAGCACCGCAGATGCTGCAGAATTCCCGGTAACGTCCACTAGAACTTTCAATCCGTCGGAGAGTCCCTGTCTCATAGTCCAGCGGCTTGCCATCAGGTTGCAATATATTTGCTTTCGGAATGAAGGCCCATGCTTGAATGGGAGAGCCAGAACCCAGTCTGCAAGACCTACATGCACACGTCCCTGCGAGATATTTCGTGTCGTTCTCACGGAGCCACCATTTGACGTCCTCACGGTTCTCCGAGCTTGACAAATGATACGGAACAAGCAAGTCAGGCCAAGGAGACGAGCACTCTTTCGAGGCCATGTTTGGACGAGTGACCCGGAAATTCACTCCCCCACAATGACATCCCGCGGACAGTTCATCCCGACTCTCTGATTCCTGGGTGGTCCTCTCTTGGCTGGTCTTGGAGTCATCAGGGCCATCCTGCCGCAGCCTTTTGAAAAGCTCTGCGGCCGGTCCGTTGACTTTCACTCCGTCAGGACCTTGCAGCAGGAATGGGACCAGGTGACCATCAAATTGGTCTAAGCAGCATGCCAGACCTCCATCTTTGGTGTCGCCGACAAATTCGTGCCGCACAATCCGTTCCAGACCGAAGTCGATGCTGGGTCCTTGGCCGTCTATGCGGTCAATGACTCCCAAGATGACGGCCCAAACATAGTCTCCTGAAGCATCAGAAGAAGGGTCCCTGTGGACCTCAACAAACATAGCACTTCCACAGTTCGGACAGAAATATCTGCTCAGCCTGGAGGAAGAGTCGTATCTGCAGAGTCTGTCGACCACATCTGGTCTCGAGGCAAGAGCAGAGTCTGAAAAGTACAATACACCCGTGCTATACCGACAGCTGTTGCACGAACAAGGTCTGCTGTGAACAGGAAGCTGGGAGTTCAATTGCACTTTTCCGGCACTCCTCCCGCAAAGGCAAGTGACTTCGACGGCTGTTGTCATGTTTTTCGGTGCACTCAGCTTCGTATGCTGCTCACAGAGCGCTGATGATTGTCGATACTCGAATCTTCAGGCGGACTCCGATCTCTTCTCGATTGAGCACAGGCAGCCTCATCCCTTATAAGTGAGTCATTCGCCGTGCCTGACCTCAGAAGGAGAAACTTCGGTTATCGCTTTTCCGCTATTCCGCGTCGTTGTTGGGTGTCGATCTCTGTTTTGCGTATTCACATACGATGGCGTATATCGCCATGCCTGCCTAGCGACAATCTTGCCATGGATTGAGGCCGATTCTGCTCCTGGTTCGTTGTGTGCATCCGTTGGCGCAGCCGGCGCGATGCATGAGGGCACCTATCAGGTACAAGCAGTAAAGTCTAATGTTCTCTGAGGGTCGGCGGAGCCCGTGTGTTGTATCGAGACGGCGAAGGTTGCTCGACAGTCACGAGGGAGACCCCCGCGCTCATCTGTCCTGTCATATTCGCCTTCAGCTCACGTTTCACCTCTCGGAAAGCCTTAGGTTCAGATCGAGCCTAGTGCCGTGGCATGCGGGCATCAGCGAAAAAGACCGAAGGCACATAAAAACATGCTCACTCTTCTCTCTGTTTCCTTCTCCTTTTACTTCTAGTCGCAAACAGCAACGAGCAACCTCACCTGTCTTTTACGATTCTAACGCACAAATCTAAACTCAGTATACCAACATCACGTACCAGAAGCCCTCGCTTACCAAACAAAATGGGTATGGACACCCAAGCTCTGTCCACTGGCTCAAAGCTGACTTGAATTCAGGTCCTTGCTCCTGCAGCTGCGGCTCTTCTTGTGAGTGCTTCCCGTGCCTTTTCCATCTCCATCATGGCTGATCCAAATATCAGGCTCTTGTCCTTCTGGCCAATGCACCTGCGTATGATCACCAGAGCATTCAACCACCATCTTCAGCTAACAATCCGCCCAGAAATAAACGAACCAATATGCTGCCTATGATGGCTCACTCTTTCGTGGTGTACTTGCAACATATGTCTTAAAAGCGCATAAACGATGCTGATGAACTGACGGGGCGTGTGGCTGCTTCAGACATTCATTTGCAACACACGCTCGGAGGACATGCCGTTCAGGCGAATGAGTACAAACATACTTAGATAGCTCTCAACCAGTAACAGCTGCCGGCACAGGCGCCTCATTTATTCCAAATTCGATCAGCAGTTCTTCACGGTTTGTGAATATTCTATACGCCCCCGCCTTCGTAACACCTTGGTGGGCTGAGGCGGCTCGAACTGAGCGGACATGTGGGGTAAGCGATAGAGCTGTTATCGCAACTCCGTAAAGCCGTGTCTCGTGTCCTGATTGGCCAGGCTGAAACGGCACTGGCCATGCGCAAGTTTCTTGATTCCATCCTTTTCGTCGCGAGCTTGACAACAAAAGAGCAGGTCTTTCGTACCGCAAGCCCGCTTGTCATAACCATGTTCGTCTGGGTACGGCGAGTGTAAAGGCGGAGCTTCAACAGGTTTAAGAGTTCATGTGAACTTCAGTCATAGCTGCTCCTGCATTGTGTCATGGCAGGGGCTATTACGCAATTCCATTCACGCAAAGGATCTTGATTCGAGCTCATAGTCACCTCAACTTCGTCGTGTTCATGACAAGTCGGAGCTCTCGTCCTTTCTACACTTCCAGTCGACGAGAATTGCGGCAGTGACGGCCTCTAACCTACGTGCACCGAGTCCGCATCTACTCTGTGTCCCTGTCATCTGCGCAGCCGGAGCTATCGTTGTCAAAACAGTCGAATCGACATGTCAGAGCCTATTTCTCTGTCTTCCCGCATAAAGGGCGCCATATATGGCCTTGCTGTGTGTGACGCACTGGGAGCTCCCGTCGAATTCAAACCCCGAGGCTCGTTCGAACGCGTTACCTGCATGCTTCCGAATGGAAACTTCGGCCTTCCCGCCGGCTGCTTCACAGACGACACAGCGATGACACTATGCCTGACTCATTCTCTTCTAGACTGTAGCGGTCACTCCAACATGGTAGACCAGGTCAAAAGGTACATCTCATGGTGGCAGAATGGCTACATGTCCTCAACCGGCAGCTGTTTCGACATTGGAGTGTCTACACGAAGTGCGCTCCAAACCTGGGCCGATATGCTCCATCTACAGCCGAGGAGCGAGGAATCCCCTGTGGAAGGTGCCCACAGCGCAATGCTAACGAAGATTACCCGTGAATTTTCGAAGGACGAATACTGTGGAAACGGCAGCCTGATGAGAGTCCTTCCAGCAGCACTGATCGCGTCGAGCGCGTCAAACGCCGTCGAACTTGCGAAAGAAAGCTCATTACCTACGCATCCCCATCCGCGATGTGTGCATGCTTGCATGATATACGCGTCCCTGGTACAACAGGCGCTGAACGGGGCTTCCAAGACCGAACTCGCTACAAGCTTAAGCGAGTCAATCAACGAGATTCCGAGCAATATCTCCGACACACCCATCGAAGCAGTTCTCGCAGAGCGCATCGGCCGGTATCGGTCCATCCAAGACTGGAAACGGACCACAGCCGACTCGATACGCAGCACGGGCTATGTTGTTGATTCACTTGAGGCCGCTCTGTGGGCTTTCTTCACCTCCGATACTTTCACAGAGGCAGCAATCCAGGCTGTTAACTTGGGGTATGATTCGGATACTGTTGGCGCGATATGCGGCGGCATAGCAGGCACTTATTACGGGTTCGATGCAATACGCGATGACTGGTTACGTGATTTAAAGAAGAAGGAACTTCTCGACGAAGCGACCCAGAAGATAATTGATCACAGAAAGAAGCTACCCTGAAGCTGCCTGTCTCCATCCTCTAGGAGGGGTTCATTTGCCCGGCAAATCTAGCATACGGTATGCCTGGTCACGTTGGTTGCTCCTCTTTAACAGTGGCCAGCGAGATACATTGCTTGGGTGGAAATATATCCAGATCGTCAACACAACAATCGTCAACGGGACCGTGACGGCCCAGAAAATCCAGAACTGTGGGGCAACATGGAACGCATCTCGATCGTCGGAGTCGATGAAGTTGAAGAATTGGCTGCCGAAAATGGTCTAAACAACCTATCAGCAATCTATTTTGGCGTCACGATCGGCCCAAACTTACCGCGACAGTAGAGATAGGCAGAAAGATCAGCGTTGTCAGTGCAATGGTGTGCATGGAACTGCTTTCGGCGAGGATAGTGCTGGAGTCTTTTTGCGCTACCAGATTGAAGCTCTTACCAACCAATCAGTGATTGCACATTGCAAACGTCGCTCGTCACTCACCAAATTGATCACATTCTGCATTCGCTTCTCCATACTGACGGCTCTCAAGTTGATCGATTCGAAGAGGGTCTGTTGATACCGCAAGGCGGAGAGAGTCCTTCCGCAACCAACCGACCGCGAAGAGGTGTTCTCAGTCTGTTCCTCGATCATGTGTTGGACTGTCCGAAGAATCGCGTCCGAAGCTTCTTTCAGGTGGATCAAATTCTTTGCAATGTAATGGAGGTGCACAAAGTTAAGCTTGAAATTGCGGGCTTCGGTTGAGGCGATGGTATGCTGCCGGGCGGGAAAGGTTAACAAAGCGTATGATGAGCAACAGGTGCGCGTACCTCTTCTACCGCTCCAACAGGCGTGTTGAGCGCCCACAACTGCTCGTCCAGCTGAAAGTGCAGGTCCGACAATACCACTGTTAAGAGACGGAATGGGTCGTCTAAAGCATCTTTCCAATTTTCCGGTGGCAGAGAGTTGAACCTCTTTTCCAGCAAGGCTGAAGCACCAAAGCAAATCAAGGTTGTCCTGCTCTGGGCGTCGCGAGTGAGAAAATACCCGCTTCTCAACCACACGATATTGTCATGTTTGTCCTCGATCGCCTTGCACAAGAAATGTAACCAGGTACCTTGGCGTCATCAGCAGTTGGGTCCTGCCTTGTAGATTGGGAACAGCACTCACAGAAGGCGCCGTCTTTCGATCCCTCGAAGCCAAACGCATGCGTCACGCTCTGAACTCTTTCAGACAAGAAAGCAGTCGGTACTGAGAACATTTGGAAAAGGGCCGTGAGCGTCTTGCTACTTGCTGGCGTCGGATAGTCCAAGGGTGCAAATCTGTGGACATTGTCAGCCCTGGTGCCACTTACCATATGCATGAAGCCCCTCACATCAGCCTCAGGTTGGGATGACTCTCTTTCGCCAACTCCGATGCTGTGGTATACCCGCGCAACGGCATCAACTGCCCTGATCACATTTCAGAGATGACCATCCCTTCACGACCGAAGACCCATACCTGTGCCGGTTTGAATGATGTCGAGTATTTCCATCTTGACCTCATTTGTGTCCATGAATGGAGCCCGAGAGCCCTCCAACAGGTCTTTGAACGCGCCATACCGACTACCATCGTGAAGCAGAGACATCATGTGCCAGCACTCTTTGCCCCTTCCTTCCAATGTTTGCTTCTCAGTTTCACAAACCGGATAGCAATGGGCGACAGATATTTAAGTGACGCGGCTGACAGTGCACAGCTGCGCGTCGAAGGGGGTGAATCAGGGCTGAGGCTGAGTGACGGCCAAGTCACTTTCTGCCTTGGGCACAGAGCTCTCCGACGCATTGTGCACGACATTTGCGGCCCTCGACAAAAATAGCAGTCTATTGACTCAAATACGCGAATGAATACGAGACTTTCATACCACAGATTTCATCCAGACTGGGCGTTCGACCCCTGTGGCTTTGGAAGTGCGAACAGAGATGTGTTCGCGCCGGCCAATCACAGGCCACCCCCGCACTATTTGTTGCCCATTTGAGTTTGCTACCGCTGCACCTCATTTCAATCTATCACATTTGTGATACAGCATCATCCTGGATTATTGAAACTTCAGCCTGATGCCAGCAAAAGTTCCCTTGTTATCGATCTTGGATACCAGAGCCTGGACTGCAGAGAATACGAGCTGAAAATGCCCCTGAGCGACATGTCTCCTGCCCCTTGTCCAGAGCCCAGTCCAGAATGTCGGCATGGAGACATAGATAAGAGTGAAGAGTGCACCTGCCTTTTGGTTTGGAATCACTTTGTCCTCACTCCTCCCACTCTCCCCTGCCCCGCCTTGCCCCCGCGCGCCCAAGTTCCTGACCTCCAGCATGGTGGGTACCTGCACGCTGAGATCCGTGAAAGCACTTCGCTGACCTTCTCAGACACAACCAAGACGACATGGAGGGGCGAAACTCCCGGCTAATGCGGTGACAACTACCCAAGCCTCCCCAGCACAGGCGCAAGTATGGGAACTGAAGACTGTTGAAGGCTCGCAGTTGACTGACATCTGACCAGAGTCCTTACCAAGGCTCATCCCCTATCACCATCGGTTCTCCCGCATCGAGTAGCCCTGGCTACTCTGGCGCAAGACGCCATGGCGGAGCGAGACTGCCGTCGGGAGCATCCTCAACAATTGCGGACGGTTCAAGCTCTCAGGTGAGGTCCACCCATTCGGGAGGCTGTACTTGTCACTAATGCCTGGTAGATGACCGCAAGTGGTCGGCTGGTACCTACCCACGCTACTCCGCCTTCTTTCTCCCAAGCTTCGACCTGGCAGCAAACTCCAGTGGCCTACGAGAAGCGACCTGCCGACGGCTTCAAAGGCGCAAACACGCCACCCTTCAGCCAAGCATCAATCGTCTACTCTGGCGTAGGTATCGTCCCTGCCCCCGGCAGACAGCACACTGACGCACCAGCAGAGTAATGGTCCGGACAATGCCTATACTCCCTCTGGTCTGCTGATCGCCCCGCCTCCAATGCCTGACGAAAAGACAATGGTTCACACGACGTCCCACAAAGTGAGGCATAGATCGAGACTCTTGACCTTGGCTCACATTTGCAGGGTTCAATGAGTGGGATATCTATTCAAACGACTGAGGTGCCTGCATACAGAATCACGGACAACGTGGCTGCGCCCTCTGAGTCGCAGGTTCATTTGAAGGAACGATCCGAACTCCAGACCTCAAGTTATCACGCCCCAGTCCTGGTATGTAGCTTGCACAATCCCCCCGACCGACTATCCTAACACAGATCAGACCAGGCGCCGAATGCATCAGAAGGGCTACCGGAACCTTTTCTCAGAAGGCACCACGTTTCGTTGGTGGAAGTCTTTCCGCACCCACAAACGCCCTGGCCGTGTGTATGCATCAGGCCGCACATACCGTCACCGAGACGCCGTGAATAGGATATTCAACGGCATCGAAGAAGACAGGTTCATTGCCTGGGATCGCCACATTGAACGCATGATGGTTCAATGCAGTGACGAGATCTATGCGGGCAATCTAAATTCAACATGGCGGCGCACATTCATCCGCAACATGGCCCCCTGGGCGATTCGGATCGCGAACTGGCCCATGAACACCACGCCTGTAGATTCCAAACACTGGTCGTCCGAAGACTGGGTTTGGATCGTTGTCAAATGGCCTGTGTCCTGTTTCCTTCTGATCTTCACTGTGAGTTCCTGCTGTTGTGTCCGATATTGGTACACCGCTGACCCATTTGGCTTGCCAGCTGCTCAAACTAGGGCCGCTCTACGACGGAGTGTCGCCTTATTCAAGGTACTCGAACTTCCCCTATCGCTATTGGGGGTATCCTAAGATTGCTCGTAATCAACTTGAGCACATTCCTGGCACGCGTAAGTCGGGTGGCGACGAGAACGCAGGAGCTCACCCTGTTTCCGAGCGACCATTGTATCCAAGACGGCTTTGCTTTGTCGACAGTGCCAACAAAGACAGAAGTGGTATCCACCTGTACGACGTCGAACTCTGGCTTCAACAGCACAACATGATTGAGCACGACATGCGCTTCATCGTTGTGGCGTACACCTCGACCCAGTTCGCTGATACGGACGAGGACACCGAGGCTTTGCATGCCATTGCTCGCGAAGCCGCGATCCAGAACAAGTGCCCTGCATACTGGGTGGGTTCCGCATGCATGTCTGAAGACCCAGTTGAGCTTGAGCAAGATGTCTACCGCATCAGCGACGTTATCCGAGCCGCATACGCTGTGGTAATTGCAGTCAAGCCACAGCCTGGAAACCACACTGCGTCAATCGATGGCCTCCTCAAAGACTGGGGCACAAGGATGTGGACCCTGCCTGAGGCACTTCTGGCTCCAAAGGAAAAGCCGATCCAGATTTACAACGCTCGCCAAGGTCGACCCGAGTTTGTCAAGGAGTTGGCGAAGAAGGACCTCGCTGCCCTGGTTTGGGAAGACACAGGTCTGACGCGCCAGCTTGTTGACCACTACGAAGGCAATCTAAGCCTGAGTCGCCTTGAGCTGGTCATCTTGGCCCTGAAGTGCTTGAGCAAGCGGCGCACTTCGAAATACCTGGACGGAGACCTTGCATATGTCCTGATGGGATTGCTGCGTCGCCGACCGGTCATCGACCATACTGACTCCGAGTTCCAAGCGTTCGCTCGGCTCTCCCTTGCCAACGACAGCGACAACCTTCTCGAACGCCTGATCTGCATTCTCCCACAGACACAGACCCAGCCATGGTACCACGCTAATGACATGTACAATGTCAACCTCTGGGACGTCCAACCGACGTGTCAGATTGCCGGCGTCTGCGAGGACGACACCGTCATTCTCGACGGCGTCGTGGGTGCTTCAATCCGCTGGGAATCTTTCGTCCCCGTGGCGCACGACACGGCATGGTCGTGGAAACGTCTGTTCGCCAAGATCTGGCTTCGCCTCTCCGGTCTGGTCTTGATAATTATCGTTTTCGCGGGTGCCATTGGCCGGGGCTTGGCCGGGGGCAGCCTCGTCTTGTGTTTGCTCCTCACCTTACCGGCCGTCCTCGTCTCGCCATGGCTGGTCAGGGTCCTCTACGGCGGCAAGGTCTGGAACGCAGCTCCCCATCTCCTCGGATTTGAAGGGTACCTCGACATCGTCACGATCGAGACAAACATATATGGACACTACACCGGACGACTAGCGTGGAGTCCCGCGGGCAGCCATCTCAGCCGCCACCAGATGAACGAATACGGAGAGTGTATCGGCGAGGATCCGACTGGTAACGGCTTTGTCGCCGACATGGTGAAACAAGCCCAGTACAGCGCCTTCGGCGAACTCAAAGTCTACACCTTGGTCGACACCTGGAACGGACTCGTGACGCTGTTCACGGCTGTGCGACCGCCTGTTGCGGCACTGCTCTGCGGCCAGGAAGGCGGCATGCAACGCGCGGTCATGGTCTCGTTGGACTGGAAGACCGGCACGCTATATCGCGAGACTGTACTGCGCATGCCGACAGTGATGTTGTCGAAGCTGTGGCAGATTGACCGAGTCAAGATTGGATTGAAGCGGCCGCTGGAACGGACCGTCCCAAGAGAAGGTGTATGAACCATCAGCCGTCGATGGCGGATGGGAACATGATGGATGAAGCACACGCTGTACGATGATGATGATGGATTTCCTTCAAGTCGGTTCCGATGACATCTGCTCTACCATTCCGTTCTCTTCTGTGCTTGGCAGGCAGCCTTTCTTAGTTCCAGAATCCCTTTTTACATGTCCATGGATGGCACTTGCTGCTTATCTCCACGCTCGCGAGTGCATACCATACTGTAGTCCGTCCCCTCTATTTCCGTACTATTCACGCCCCTTGTAGCGCGTCTCAGTGAGTGTTGATGATATGTAGGGCGAGTCCCTTCCCCGCCGGATGCGCACGTTGCTTCTCTCCGACCTCATGTATCCTGCTGAACGCCCAATCCTTGACCACCGAAGGGCGGCACGCTCAACTGTCCTCAAGTCTTTAATGATCCCTACCCCCCTGTAGATCCCGGCCGGGCACATGGTGCAGACTGGCAGGATTTTGCCCGCAGGGTGTTTGTTTTGCAAAGTACGGAGTACAGTAGCCGAGTAATCTTTCCTCTCTGCCACGTTGCGTAAAGCACCCGTGACAATGAGAAAAGGTGTGGTGACGGGGGAGCACGGATTCAGCAGCACTGCCTGGCGACAAACGACCTGAGCCATTTGTGGCGCAAGCGCGTCTAGTGCTTGACGACCTTGTCCCGTCAAGTCGAAGGTCACCCGCGGCGAGACGGCCAAGTATGGTGGTAACCTTGACTGGGTGGGACGACTTTCACAGGAGGATAGTTTCTTTGAAGGAGCTTTCCTTCGTGTCATCCTCGTGGTGGGAATCATCCGGACTCGGTGCTGCGAGGAAGCGAAGGTTACCTGGTTCTCTGCTGTTGTAGTTACGGCAAGCACGAACGGACGCGACGAGCAAGGATGATCGCGAGGACGCATCGTGGCACTTCAAGGTTCGAGGCGTTTGAGCTCCTGTGTCGGAAATCTGGATCAGTGCGGACCGAGCCCTGCAAATGTGTCAGCATTCTCATGGTCGTGGAGGCACAGGCGAAATCTTCAGGATCGGAGTGGGTATGAGGTTTGAAACGCTTTTGACTGATGTCAACGCGGTGGAGTATTGAAATCGTGAGACTGGCGTCAAGAGATAGAGATTTCTGACACTGTGACCGTCAACAAGCTCCCTCTACATGCCGGCCCTAGCAGCGCGCAGTGGCGTTGAGAGTAATGGATAATGCTTGCCAACTCGTGCCAGATCGTCATTGATGCAGCTCTCGATCTGATCTGGTCAAATTCCAGGATGCTAAGCTGTCATACCAGTTATGCTGGACCGGACGATGTCATAGCGAGCTTCGCGGCGGCTGCTTCTCGTATACTGAGATCGCTTTGCATCTCTGCAGGGTCTTTGTAGCCGCCAAGCTTCAGAGCGTCTAGGATACTGATAGAATGTCGAATCGAGGCAGCAAGCTCAGGTCGTAAAGACTTCAATCGCTCCGCTCTTCGAATGCCCCTACCCCTACTGGGTTCTTTTGGGTTCTTCTCAGACGCCGTGGTGTCGCCGTCAGCACCGGCTGCCATCGGTGGTCCCTAAGAAACATGTCAAGCTTCATGGCCCAGCGACTCGGCTACTAGCAACGTACAGTCCGATTGGGACGGCGACCAACCTCGATCGAACGAGCCGGCTCTTTGATAGTGGGCCCCCCTTTGCCGGCGGTGGGACCAGGTGTGGCGTTGACAGATAGTTCTCGCAATCTCTGCCTCTGTCTCTCGTAAGACGTGAAATCGCCGCCAATGAGGCATCCCAGGAAACCATTTGCCTGATGTCTGGAAGGGTCTTTTTCGAATGAAGCGAGTCGAGTGGTTAAAGCCTTGTGTGCCTTGGAAAAGCAGTCGAAAATTGTGCTAATCTGCCTTGTGCCTCCGGAGATGTTGTTATCTGATCTATGAGGATCAATGATAGTCAAACGTTCATTGTCTTTGTCACCAAACTGAATGGGATGTGTTGCCTGGGACAAAGCGTTAGCAAGGTCGAAGGGGAATAGAGCTCAAGTTACCTTGTTCAAGTATGCTGGCGGATCAAGACGGATGATCGTTGATTTCTTGTCGAACACATTACCGTAGTAGTTGAAGAATTCCAGCAAGACATCGCCTACATTGACAGGACGCTGAGGCACAGGCAGGTGTTGTAGGAGGCTAGTCACCAGACAGATCGTTGAGAAACCACCCAAACCCCCAGTGGACACGTCGTTCAGCCCTCGGATCATCAAATATTGTTTGACAACCGACACAATGATGGGCATTACCGGATATTCACTCTTCCATCTGTGGAACGTATCAATGGCAGCAACACCGGTGTCATTGTCGAAGCATAGGTCAACCTTGAGTCCGCTGATTCTGTCCACAAACTTGATAATCGGGACCTTTGCTCCACTAATGGGAACGACTGGCCCTTGAGCGATCCCGCAGCGGCGAAGAAATGTTGCTCCTGTGAGGACCAAATCCCGCTTGTGCTTCTTGGAAGGTGTCACCCCAGGTTTAAAGGCTCGGGTAAGGTAGACGAGATCCATATCAGCGGTAGGCAAGTATAAACCGGCAGCATAAGAACCGAAGGCTTTCAGTTCTCCTGCCATGAAACCTTGCAAAACCTTGTTGAGCCGCTGAAACACCGCACCACGGACTTCGATCTCATGGGGTTTTGGCTTCACCCAGTCGTAAAAGTCAATGATCTCTTTGTGGAGCCTGTAATGGTTAGCGGTAAGACTCGGGCGGTATTTCCGGCACTTACGCGACTCCAGCAGTGTTGCTGGGGGTAGGTGGACGCAGCCACGGCGTTGCATTGACTCCATAAGCAGCTGTCCATTTGTCCTCGACTCGCCTATCCGCATAAATCGGGTGATCTGACCTGAGATACCGTTCTTCTTCGTCGTCGAGATCACGCCCTCTCTTTCTCTTGCCAGTAACCATGCTGGACGCGGACGGTTGACGAGCAATGGAAACGTACGTAGGCTGTGGCGATGGAGACGCGTGTTGCAGCGACGGCAAGGCCGAGTCTTCACTCGAGTCGTGCTCGTCAGCATCGAAGGAAATGAAATCGTCTGCCTGCTTGGCTTTTGGGTGGCGGGGGTCGGTGTCGATGCGCGCTTTCCTAATCAACTTGACGACATCCGTCCGTTTGGCAGCCACATCTCCCGCTGGAGGAAGCGACGTGTACGGATCCGGATTTGACCATTTGGAAGAGGCAGGTACGATGCCGGAATCACCTTGATGTAGTCGAGCTCGCTTGTTCATGTGCCGTTCCTCATCTTCATCTTCTGACTGTGCCATGTCTTCTTCCTCGCTATCCGTCAATTCATCCAGATTCCGGAACTTGGACTTGCTTTCCAAGTTGAGACTTGCGGCCGAAGAATCAGCGGCTTCATCGTGTCTGAGCTTGAACAGAGGGCGATTTGCAGCTGTCCTTATGGTCGGGGGTGGGGGTCTTCGCCAGTTGTCCCGTCGGGAACCTGTAGGATGGGGTCGCGCACTCTGATATCCGGGCCTGGGACGGCGGACGAACTCCCGTGGCGGCTCTCGGTCGCGCGAACCTTGAAAATGGTACATGGCATCTTTGCTGTAGTTCGTGGAAGGCCAGGGTGGAGCGGGAGGGTCGTAATCGCGAGGTCGATACGAGTCGCTGTCGCGAACAGGAGGCCGACGGGTTCCGCCGGGGCGATACGAGTCCATGAGCAAAGAAAATGTACACGTCAAGACATGCGTTTGGGAATGAAAATGTGGTGAAGGAAAAGTGAGGCCCGAGGCGGTTCGTCACTGAATCGGAGATGGAAATTATGCGCAGTTGCGCCACGCAGCGAGTTTGCGGAAACTGAGCCGACAGTGAATGGGATCAGAGGTTCTGTAAACAAGCGAGAGCTTGCAACTGTTCTTCTCTTCATTTCCAGAGAAAGCCCTTCGTGGCTTTCTTCGCAGCTTTCTCGTGTGTGCTGATTGCGCCTTCCGAATTGAGCGATCATATCTGAAACCGCATCTTCCGGCAAGTAGTACGAGCTTCATCAAGATAGCATATGGTCGAACCCTTTGTCGGTTTGTTTTCAGCGCTGGCGAGGTACTCTCTGTACCTGCTATCTGATCCCTTGCAATGGCTTCTTTGCCGACGCCGACCTGTAGGAGTCCGATCCGAATGCACGATCAATGCTATCAGCCACTTGACTTCAGGTGCAGTGGCCTGCTCCCCGGTTGTCAATCTGCACGACGCAAAATGGCAATTTGCATGAATTTCCGGGAAGTTGCAGGAGTCAGAATCGACGTCGACAACATGTTTTGGGTCTAGAATTTTGGCCATGATACCACCATGATGGCAAGGTAATCCCTTGCAAGCTGAGGCCAATGCTCAAACGCAGTAAGTGGTACTTCCTACAGTTGGACTTACTCGACACTTGCCGCCGGCCATTATCGGCGGCCACAAGCCGAGCTGCGGTCCGTTGGTCGTTCTCGCTGCAGAGGATCTGGGCCTTGCCAACTTCTCTCCTGTCGCTGAGACATCGCGTGCGTTTTCGTGGAAAGATCCGCAGTACTCTGGACTTGTCGACCTCAGCAGAACTTCCCTCGTCTCGTTCCGTGGGTCGCGAGCGGTTCAAACTCACAGAGATCACCCTTCAAGCCATCCTGCATTACTCGAGAATCAGACCACCCAGGTCCCTCCGCTTCTGGACTGGAAAGGTCGGTGACCTTGGCTCGACGAAAGTGCATGAAGCTACTACTCATGTTGCCTAGCCTGCTGTCTGCCATTTGTTCAAAGACCCCTGCCTCCTCAGTAAATGAAGTCCTGGATTGGGCAGACATCTTTTATCGACCCTGCGTGGCAGACCCAGTGAAACTGCGCACAGAAAGCTTTTCTGCATGATCCCGATATTTTGTGGTGGGGTATCATTGTGACAGGCTCGAAAGATTGAATCTTCGACCACCGCTGAAGCTGATGCTCGCGGTTATCAGACCCCGCTAAGTCATGGTGATCATGCTGCGAATGAGCGATCCACCAGTGTATGCCGCGTCAATATCAATGCTGCGCTGCAAATACATCAAGGCAAACGAGTCCAAACGAGTCCATGTCTTAGCTGGACTGGGCTGCAGTTGCAGATTTCCTCTATTGATGTATTGTCCGACGGCAAGCCACACTCACAGGGAGGCCTTTTCACTATCCAGGACGGACATGCCAAGGACGACGATCCCGTCAGCTTCTGAGACTTCGGGTCAGTGTGGGGTGCCCTATCCACACCTCGGTCCGATAGCACTAATTGACCTCGAGACGATGAACGCTGCCATCTGAAGACAGAACCACTTCCGAAAGGCGTATGCGGAGGCCGCAGAACATCGACCGGTGGTGCCATCTTCTGTTCGCCGTATGTGGCCGTGCTGGGGTAATCTACATTCATGTCGGTCGAGTAGACCCGCGGCTGTTGTGCTGCATGCAGACGCTAGAGTCGTTCGATCCAGCAGAGCTGCCTGGGACGATGCCAGCTAGCAAGCAATCGAAAGTGGAGTCGCATATCAACACTGGTGTGCTCCGTACTCGTATGGGACCATCGTTGGTTGAATGGCTATGTGCCGATGCAGATTTTCTCCAGATGGAAGGGCACTACCTCGTACTCGTAGTAGCTGCTGAGCTGCTGCAGTGCGGGTTTGTCGTCAAGAATCTCCGGTGCACGTTTCAGCAAGGCTAATTAATGACTCGGCACGAAGCCACGGCTAGCGTACCTTAACGGCTTCTCCCAAGCAGACAAGCCCAGCCACTTACGAGGCAGACGGGCTTCAAAGCGGAAATGATTTCTGGATATGCCACGTCTCCGTTTGCAGCCGGCTACGGAGTGGTGGGTGAGTGGGTATGTCGTTGGATCCTCGTATGAGTACTCCGTACAGGACGCAGTGCCTCGAAATCGAGCATACGGTCCGAGCACAACATCACAGACGCATTTGTCCGTGCGTACGGATCTCACCCTGCCTCCTCTTTCCAGGCTATTGTTGTCTTTGCGGATCCAAAATCTCCGGGCTCGATGAGCTCTTTATCGCAGAGTCGAGGGTGCGTCTGGAGGAGGACGTACAGTACGGAGTACGGAGTACTTCCCCCTTGAACGGCAAGCAGCAATCCAGCAGTCATGCCAGGCAGTCTCCAGGATTTCAATTCTACTGTACGACACAGCAGCCGCAAAGCAGAGCCCTTTCCGCTGGCTTGTGCGACGTCTCCATTTCGGTGTGGTTGCCTTTGATGCATTCGCACAATGTGCTCCGACCAGAAGGGGACTACCGCCATGAGAAGGCAGTTTGAATAGACTGTTTTGATTTTTCGATCTTCTCATGGAGCGAAATGACACCCAAGGACGCGAGTCTCCTTTGCTAGGGCATCCAAAGGATACACGGTACATGCCATGCGACTATCACTGAATTCTTTTCAATTCAATCTCTCCCATTACTGTTGGCCCAAGCATTCCTTTACTCCCCACGTTTGAATGTGCATAACCAACCCTGAGTTCCTGACCGGTTGCCTGGCTCGAAGAGCAGAGCAGAGCAGCAGCGGCCACCAGGATGACCGTACTTCGTTGGGCTGAAGCCTGAAACTCGACCGTGGATATAAGACGAAGAGAATCAGACGAGAGCGGGCAAAGACGTTCGTTATCTCGACCGGTGCTGTGTGCTATGGTTTTTACGGTGCGTGGGTGCATGCATTTACACACATTCATATTGAGCAATACGGTCTTTCAGGCAGTACGGAGTACAGTAACTCGTACTCCTCTAGCCAGCGAGTCACTCACTCACTCACTCATCGATGCCGCGTTCACCGATGCCTCACTCACTCATTCAAGACCCCTCAATGGCAAACATCAAAGTACGTCGCTCCGGCGTCATCTCCGGTGTCGACCGACCGCCTTGTATTGATCACTTGCCAGGGAATCAAAAACGAGTACGGAGTACGGAGTACCCCTTCACTGTGCATAGTACCTCTTACCGTGTACTCCGTTCTCCGTTCTCCGTACTCGGTTCAAAATTCCCACATGAAGAAAACGGCTTCGCTAATTCATGGACTGCTGGACTGACGGACTGACGGACTGACGGACTGCTCCCCACGCCCAACCGTCGGAGCGTTGAAATCCCGTGAAGAAACCGTTTCGCGTTGGATTTGAAACATCATTTCTGAAAGGCGAGACAAGCGTCGCGCGTGGGCGGTCAGGAAATGGCTTCGCGACGTGGCCCTACTGGGTACAGTGATGATCCCTGCCTGCCTGACCTCCCTGAGACACATTTCACAGGTGGCGTTCTTGTTCATACTCAAAGCGCCCAAGTTGGGGTCCTTGGTACGGACGAGGTACCGTGTAGGTGCGTGACTTGGGCAACTTGTGTACTACTTGGGTGACATGGTTTTTTGGCGTGGGCCTTGGTTAAATCCATCCGCCCACGCACGCCGTCCGCCACGCCCCATGTGGGCCAAGGATCAGATTGTAGTAAAGTACGAGCTAACAAGTCCCCAGTAAGTGGCACTCCCTTGACACCCACTTGACGATCTACGTAGTTACAGTACAAGGCACGAGGTGTGCAGGACAGCGGGTACGGCGGGTACAGAGGGCGATCAGTGGACCAGCAGCTCTCAATCTCTCTCTCTCTCCCCCCCTCTCCCTGGGGGTGTATATATTTAGATTGTTTGATGCGGTTCCCGACTCGCGCGGCGTATTCGTGTTTCAAGTCAACTTGGTTGCTCTCTGAGCAGATCTGTCTAAGAGCCGACGGACGAGAACTGCTCCGATGCTCATCCTTGGATTCGGATTGACGACCATCTCGTCTCTCCTCCGTCCCGCCGACCTGTGACATACTTACTGTATACGATGTAGCGAGCAGGAGCTGGTAATGAAGACCGATGTATGACGGGAAAAAAGGAACTAGAGAGCTGAGACTCAAGATATGTACAACAAACAATTTTAAGCGTGGCCGAAGCCAATGTGTGTATATGGCGCTTCAAAGGATGGTACAACGTGTAGATGCCTGTCTGGCGCGGCTGTCCGTGGGAATTTGTGCATGAAATCACAGGACCCCCTTCGGTGCCGTGGCTGCTCGATGTTTCGTAAGATGACAATTCGGTTGCTTCAAAAGTAGAGCGCATGTCGCATCGTGACAACTGAAACTGCGGCGTTGCTTGGGAATTTTCGTGGGTTCTCTTCCACCGTGTACACCCGTCACTTTCATGAATTCGAACCCGATCTCGTGCCTCTCCTCTTCTGTGCCTTCATGTCTCCAGAGAAACTGGCCTTGGGGGTGTCGCCAAAGCTGATGCTCGTCGGGCTGAAGCTCGCGTTGCTCCCTCGATCGCTGGCTGCTCCGCTGGTCTCGCTCAGTGGGCTGTGGTCGTCGGCGACGCCAGCTCTGTGGACCGACTGCGTTCGGATATCCAGCTTCTCAAAGATGGCCTTCAGATCTCTCACATCGGCGATGGACTCCACGCCTGGCGTCGCATCGTTCTCGTGCCGCTCCTTCACCACCTTGCGGATCTCCTTCAGCATGGCAATGTTTCCCTCGTCGTTGGGCAACCACCAGTTCTCGACCGCTTCGTTCTCCCCGACTGCTTCGCGCGTCAAGCCCCACATTTCCGCCATCCTCTGTCGGAACGAGGGCGGGAATATGTAGCCCTGTCGTTCTACGGCCGCAAACTTCCGTCGCGCCCACATGATGTGCCGGGCATCCTT